ATATTTATAATTTTAACCATTAATTAAAAGTTGGCCTATTAATAGCTTATGCTTTTGAAGCAATGAAATGTCATCATTTTACATTGTTGATTTCAAAGGACAGATCAAAGCTCAATACTATGAGGAAAAAGATAATGAGACATCAATTGTTAAAAAAACAAGAAGTACTGGTCTTCTGGGAAGAATTTTTAAAAATTTCTCATCTTGAAAATTTAATTTTTATAAATTCAAGAGTTCAAGTAAGAAAATAGTAATTTTTTTTTATTCTTATAATGTTATCTTTGGTTTCTGATTTCAGGAATTCAGAAAAATATTCAAGTGAATTTTGTTAATTAAAAGAGATGTTGGAGTGTAAAATATGCTATAATAACTTGGCTAATACTCTGTTTCTCCCTTGTAGTCATTTACCAAGCTGCATAGACTGTACAATGAAACTGTCAAGATTAGAATGCACATGCTGTCAGAATTTGATTAAAGGATATGTCATTATAAAAAGCGATACTGATATATTGAACTTGAATTCTTCAAGTGAGAAATAAACAGGAATAAACAGGAATATATGAATATGATGCCAAACTAGACTGTAGAATTTGTAGGGTTTGGATAATTTTCATTCTAAACTAAATTTAATTTTAACTTTTTTTCAGGTCATTTTAGGATGAACATCAGGGTTAGGAATCACAAAATGAAAGAAGTTTTTTTGTTTTAGCTTTAAGTTATGTTATTAGTCTATTCAATATAAATTTGAATAAATGTTGGTCTAAGTACTTGAATTTGGACAGCTATTTCAAAACATATGTGTGAAAAACATTGTACCTCTCTTGGTAAATGATTGGAAAGGACAAATACAGTTTTGACGAACCAGAAATTCCTACAATTACAATTCAACAAAGTACAGATGTCATCTATCATTCCATGGGTAGATTTCATTTGTAAAAAAATGATTGATTTTTTTAAAAGTTAAATTTTTCATTTTTTAGTTATTACAATTGAAATTAAAATAGAGAGGCAATTGGCAGACTTATTAAGGAAGATCAAACTTCATCTCAGATAGTAATTACCAAAAAATTGGTTATTTGTCAAAGGGCTGTTAGGAACATGATTAAAGACCTGAGGATCTGTATGATGCAGAATCAAGGAAGGCTTCTTTGGCCCACAAACACACTTCATCTCAACATGGAAAACAGCTAACAATTGCTAAATCAGCTGAAAAACTGCAATGTAAAGCTTTATGGGAGCTTGTGAAAAAATTCAAATCTGAGTGACAAGTTCAATGTTTTTAAATCTAAATGTCTAACAGCTGATGCAAAAAAAAATTGAAACAATAATAAACACAATTTTGTAAAGGATAATTGTTTATTTCATATCAAGTTAGTCACTTTTCGAATAGTATTTGTACGGCATTCTGCTTCATATATAATTTTTCTTCATTTGAAACTAACTGCAAAAAATTTATTGTTGATTTTTGTAACATTTTCTTTAACAGTTGACCAAACATAAAAATATCTTTCATATCATAATTTTCTTCAAGTTTATGTAGTTTCTTTATCAACAGTTGGCATCTTTTTCTATTTTTTGCTAAATGCTTTTTTTCAGGCAAATTTTAAAAAATTTATATATTTATAGAAATTCTTACATAGAATGTCACAGTATTGAATGATATATCCTCATTAAAGGCAAGATTACCCGAATGACAAAATATTATTGCTGTTATTATAGATTTTGCCATAGATACAATATTCTTATGACTAAATATAAAAAAATACATTTTATATGCTTTTGTCAAGTTTAGTGCATTTATATCATGGGTCAGATAGTGGTTTCCCATATTATTTATGAAATTTAAATCTGTTTTAATATGAATAACCTGTTTAATAAGGTGATTTGAAAAAAAAAGGTATACACACATGTTTCAAAATTATCTTCCTTCTCAGCTTCGTATTTTGCAATCCTGTGAATTTGAAAATGGAAATAAAATATTTGTAATAATTGTATCACAGGCTATTTAACAAACAATATTTGTCTCTGCCTATCTCTATGAGCTCTAATGTCAGATAGAACATCTTTCAAAATATATAACAAAGGATTTACTACTGAATTCAATGGAAGCATGATAACAACTAGTGCAGTGTATACTTCATTTGATACAGTCAAATTGAAAAACACTGAATATACACCTTAAAAATGGAAAAAAGGGTAACTGGCTATATAATTTGCTAACAATACAACATTCAATTATATTTTTAAATATTTTTAAAAACCTAAAAATGAAATCGGTAGCCAACACAAAATATTTGTTATAACAACTAAAAATGATCGAAACTTAATTTTGTTTTACAAGATCTTATATTTGGATTTCTCAAGAAATCTTTTTGATTTTACAGTTTCTCTCCATATTTTAAAATACAATCCACAAATCACTGTACATGCCAATCCAACAAAACAACCAAAAAATAGAAAAGAATAGAACCAGCCTTCCTTTTTGGTACTGGAGATATGTAATGTAAAACACACTGAACTTTTGGAGTAGTAGTCCTAAATATAACAGAAAACTATGAAGAATAATTTTGACTATTTAAACTACATTTGTTTTTCATACATTATAAATAGGTAATGGGAGGATTGATATTAAAATTGACCATAGCCAGATGAAAATAATACTATACCTAAGAAATTTTTTATCAAAATCTTTCAATATAGGAGAATTAATTTTTTTATATCTTTCAATTGTTATAAACAATAAACTCAATGTAGATAATTGAATTGAGAAACTTGCAAAACTTCCAATTGTTGAACAAGTTATACTTCTTTTCCAAAAGAAGTCATTTTCAACATATTCTCCTCTGAACACCAAGTCAGTTATTCCAATAGAAATGAAATATATTGCAATATTCAAATCTGCAAAAGCCAGACTCAAAAGGAAATTATTTCTCTTTCTTTTTGCTGACAAAATAGTTTGATATAACAATGAGAAAATGTTTTCAATAAATGATGTAATATTAATTATCCATAAGAGAATACGTATCAATCTTGATTGTAATAAATCACCGCAAGAACTAAATAATGATTTGTTTGGTTGACAATGTTTAATATTTTTCAAATATTTCCTTGCAAAGCAACACAACTCGAAATAATCACTTGAAAGATTTACAAGCATTTTTAAATTCTTCACTAGATATTTACTATTTTCCATATATAAAAAAGTTTTTTCTAGTAATAATAGCTCAAGAGAAAATAAGTCAGAAAATGATTTGGTCTCAATGTTGTTGATTTTGCATTTGCTTAAATCAAGATATTGAAGTTTTGTACAATTAGCAAAATATTTATATGAAATTCTAGACAAATTTGTGTTTGCAAGAATAAGTTTTCTTAGATTTGGAAAAATCTGGAATGAAAACTTTCCCAAAAATAATTTATTACTTTTAAGATTTAAAACTTGAAGTTTTTTTAATGAATCTTTTAATACATTTTGAAAAAATATTTTTCTATTGTTTTCAATATTAAGAGAGAATACATTAGGAAACACATTTATAATGTCTGATATATCTATTATACTTAAAGATACTGTTAAATATACTACAGTGAAATATTGTCTTTGGAAGTATGTTTTAAAAGACATTTCAAACTGTGATATATGAACATTTTTCCAATAATATAGCTCATTAACATTTAACCAGAGGTTAGTTGCCTGCTTAAAATCACACATTAAAGTGTGGAAGAACTCACATGTGCACCTGGTAGGACAATTGTTTGAACTTTTGCAAAACATCTCATCATTTCCCAGAAGGCAATCTACTATCTTATTACATATATCTGAAGTGGGAATATACAACAACTCATTTCTACATTTAAAAAATCCTCTTGGTATAAAGTTTTCTGGTTTTTATAGGTTTAATTTATAAAAATGGATTGAAAGATTACTGTTTAATAAAAAAATACCACAATCATCTTCATCATCATGTGCAGGACAATGAGAAACTCCATCACAAACTTGTTTAATTGAAATGCAATAACCCTTTGACCTACATAAATATTCACCAACATGGCATTTTGTAATATCACATTGATGAAACTCATAAGGAACATGAGTTTTTGTGAGTAAATTGCCCATTGAATTATACTCTAAATGACAATTTTTATGTTGTTTTACATCCCTTTCTATTATTTGAGCACAGTTTTCCTCTAGCATAATGTCAGTTGAATGTTTTTCTATACAGGGTTGAATGCCTTCATCAGCTGAATTGCTGCAGTCATGGTGGAAATCACATGTTCTTTCTATTGGTATATGCATATTATCACACAAAAAAAGTTTTTTCCATCCTAAGAATAAGTCAAATGAAATGGTTAGAAACATATTTTTTTAATTTCATTTTGATCCTACCAGTGGAATTTTTGTCTACTACTGAGCAAAAAAGTTCATCACTTTCATCAAAACAGTTAATTTCACTGTTGCAAAATTCACTTTTATTAATGCATTGTCCATTTTTACATCTAAAAACACAGAAACATCTGAAGAGTTTGTAATTAAAAAATAGTTTTTTAAGAATGCACCTTTGACTTGAGTCACAATATTCCCATTCTATTGAAAAAAAATTCATGACAAAAGAGCATTTTATGTTGGTCTTACCACAATCTCTTTCATCCTCAGAGTTTGGACAATTTGGTATATGATCACAAACTTTTTTATAATTTATGTGAAAAGAATGGTTACAATAAAAGAGATCACTTTCTGGGCAATTTATTTCATCTTCCCCTAAAAAGCAATCAGTTTTTCCATCACATACATTTATCTCATTAATATATATCTCAATATTTGGGCATAAAAACATATTGCTTTCAACTGGACTCTTTGTTACATTTTTAATTTCCAATTGTTCACTCAGTGACTTTTTTGTTTTTGTAGTTTCAACTGTGAGGGCAAAATTCAGTTTGGTTTTGTATATAGATACTAAAATCTTTGAACCAGGAGAAAAAAACATGTTTAGGACTATTTCAATCAGTCAGACTGATTTAATAGGAACAATCCTAGACATTTTCTCCATGATCCTAGAATAATTACTTGCTGCTTCAATGCACACAACTTTTGTTATATCAAGAGTGTGACACCCTGAAATGTCAATGCTATATGGTCTAAAAACAGTTGTATCTGACCATCCTAAGTCAGATTGTAGCTTATTTGAATCTCCATATACAAAACAGTCTGTTAATTTTGTTGGTTTACTTGATTTTTCTGTACCACGTAGCAATGCTTTACAAAATCCAGGTACTCTACAATATTTTATTTAAAAAAATGACTAATAAAAGCAACTTATTAGTGAACTAACAAATTAGTATCATCAAAGCTTGTAAAATCAAAAGGTATTCCATCCAAATGTAGTGTTATTGATCTATTTCTATGATTCTTTATAGTTTTCATTTCTAGTTTTTATTGTATGATCAAGTCTTATTCATAGTTAAGACAAAAGACTAGTTTCATACTTCCTGGGAATATAGTCTTTTTTTTTAACATTGCTTTCAAAAGGGGAATATCATTTGTCAAAGAGAGAGTTCTTATTTTATCTAATGTATGCAAAAAACTGTAGCTTTCAGGTGATATAAAAGCAAGGGTACTATTGTTATTTATGCAAATTTTTTCACTCTGACTAATTGATACTTTCTTTTCAAGTGTCAAATGTAAAAAACATACATTCTTGTAGAGAAATGATTTTTCATTCTTACAAACTTTATAAACAAGAATAAATATTTAAACATTTTGTTTTTGCCCAATGCCCACCTTTTTGACTACTATTAAGGTTACTGCTGCATGTTATAATTATTGGTGACTTTGGATACACACCCAGTTCTTTCATTGAAGATTCAAATATTCCTTTCACAAAGTCATCATCAATTTCTAAGGAGCAAGAAGATGAATCTCCAGATTTCAAACATTTCATTGATGCATAATAAAATCTTGTAACACTAAAAGGAAATGTAATTTTTGAAATGACACCATAATCAAAACCAAAAGATTGGCATATATTTATGATATTGTTAAATTTGAATGATTCAAAATTTGGTTGATACCAAATATTCTTATAATAGATTTGTACATTTCCAGAGAATTCAATATAGGTGTGTGTTTGCCCAAAATTTAAAATGCTTTGGTCAATACTAAAGAGTCTATAGTGATAGTCTGTCAAGAAAATTTTTAAATCATCTTTATATGAAGTTTACTGCAAAAAAGAAATGAACCTTTGTAATTATCTTCCTCACATCTTACTGATAAGGTATATGCTTGCCTATCTAGGTCATTTAAGTTACAAGTGGTGAAGTCATCCGCAGACAAATCACAATTGTAGAAAGAAAATACTACATTATGTAAATGAAACACCTTTCTGTAAGTGCAGTCAGCTTGTCTCTGTAATAACAAGATTTTTTGTTTATGGAAAAAATCAACAGCATAAGCAAGCCTTCACCAGCTGCCATGAATGTATTATTTGAAATATAGGATATACTGTTTTATTTAAAGTTGCACACAAAGATTTAGCAACTTTATCACCATTTTCAGTCCTTTGAAATGTCAAAGGCAACATTCCCAACTTTTTAGAATAAAACACAAACATTGTGCCAAAAGGTAAAGAATCCTCATAAACATATTTTTGCATACTTTTCAGCATTGGAACAACTTTTACATCTGAAGGAAAAAAAACTAAGTTTTCTCTGTTAATATGATTAGTATTATTACCTTTTAATTCAGGGTAAAAACAATACAATCTGATTAAGTCTGCTTTGTTAGTTTGTGGAAGTTGATTGATCTTTTTAAAAGTTAAATTTTTGAAAGGAACAACAAAATATTCTCTGGAATATTCAAAATCACTGTCACCATAAAATTGTGCCTTTTCACACACATGATTGCGCTTTTCAGCATTTTTTATATACACCTGAAATGATGCTTTATTCAATCTCCTGAAAATTGGATACTGATTAGTCTTTGCATTGTCTGTACCAAATTTACCAGTGAAAATAACTGAAGCATATAAAACAGTATAAAAATGCTAGTCATTGCTTTTAACTTGAGATACTAAAGTGTTAATGACACTTACATGGTACATCAATTTTAAAACATTTTATACAGCTGAGGTGTCTTTTATAATCAAAATGTGTGACTTTATGCCTATGGAAATAATCTTTTTTGAACATTTTCAGTGATTAAAAGAAATCCTATTAATTAGCTATTAATCTGTGCAGAGTCATCTACTATCTATTTTTTTTGTGTTAATTTCTAAACTCTAAAACAGCCCCTAGCAAAGTTTTCCACTAAAAATTGCAGAGTCAATTCATCTTGCCATACTTGATATTTTGAGACTGGGCAGTTGACATCAAAAATAAACCATTACTCTAAACCTATGAAAATTATCTTTTTAAGTATTACAAATGGGAGGTCAGCACAAAATACAAAACACAAATTAAGGCTAGATTTTTGACTGAAAATGGCAAAGCGAAAGTCTTGTTTGGGAGGGTTTCAACTAACAATTAGGGTAAGAAGATTATATGGGAACAAGACTTGGGTGTGGGTAAATGCAATAATTTGTGGACATTTACAGTTGCATCCTGCCAATATCAAGACTACATTTTATTTGTTTTATTCATAGAAGGTTTGGAGGAATTCTTCTAAGGGGTCAGAGCTTAAAGTAGAATGTGGAAAACTTATAGGGTTTGGAAAACTTTTGTTTTGATTTTCTTAGGTCATGCAGGACTGAACTGAGGGTTAGAAAGTACTAAATTTAGAGAATCTTGTTAGCTGATGGAATTAGCATTAGTGTAAAATATCAAAAAATAGGATGTTTTCTCCCATAAGACATTTTTAGAGTAGGTCAAATTCTTTCATTAAAAAAATTGTTTTTTACATACACTGCCACTCTGTCCTCAACAAATTGTAGATAAACTGTACCATTTAGTTCTGTAAAATGTTATCAAAAGTTTATATTCAATTGATTGATTTAATACAACAGCTGCCTTCATGTTCACAGAGTTGGATTGTAACCCATATGTTGTCATATCCCATTGCATTACAAATCTTCAACCACTTCATTGCAAGTTCAACAGATTCAAGGGAGTAGCCAACTGTCTCTATCTGACCTTTAAATGATAATTTCAATATACCAAAAGTATATTCAATTCCTTCTCCAAGTGGTTGTATGAAAAATGTTGCATTCTTCTCATCTAACACACTATACGATATGTCCCAATAGTATAATGGACAATGTTGTGAATAAATAAAAGAAACAATATACAATGAAAATAGCTGCTTATACAGAAAACAAATTTGCATAATTTAAAATAAAAGTGATGAAGTGGTGTTATAATTTATATACACATTGTTTTAAAATATCAGATTTCCTTTTTTAAGTACAGATCTAATATTTAGATATTCATTTCTTGTGCAATTTGATATTTACTATATTATTATAGCACATAGTGTTAAAGAAAACTAAAGAAGGTTGCTATAAGTTAAAGAAAATTTTTTTTCAAAGTTTTGTTTCATTTCTACCCTAATTCCTCTTTTAGCATTAATACTGAAATGTTCTGCT